ACATGTAACCCAAACTGGGATGAGATCAAGCGTGAACTCTACCCTGGCCAGACACCACAAGATCATCCAGATCTCGTTGTTCGGGTCTTTAGAAAAAAACTACAAGAGTTGAAGGATAGACTACTAAAAAAGGATATCCTTGGAAAGGTGCGGGCACATGTTTATGTTGTGGAGTTCTAGAAGAGGGGTCTACCGCATGCAAATTTTTTGCTAATCATGGATAGGAAGTACAAGATCACGTGCCTAGAGCAGTATGATCGCCTCATCTCAGCTGAGCTCCTGAACAAGAAGTACCCAGTCTTGTACAAGATGATTACCAAACATATGATGCATGGCCCTTGCGGAGTGCTTAATCGTGATTGTCCTTGCACAAAGGGTCATGATTCCTGCAAGAACTGTTACCCTAGACCTTTTTGCGATGTCACAGTACAAGGCAAGGATTCATATCTAGTTTATAGACGGCGTGAAGATGGCCTAAAAGAAAAAGTTCGCAGATACGAGCTTGACAATAGATGGGTCATGCCTTATAACCCGTATCTCCTCCATCTATTCAACTGCCACATCAATATTGAGGCATGTGGGAGCATCAAGGCAGTCAAGTATCTGTTTAAGTACATTTACAAGGGTCATGACCGGGCGTCTGTGGCTATGAGAGAGGCTAACAAGGAGGATAGTGAAAGGAACATTGTTGAGATCAAGCAGTACAAAGATGCTAGATGGGTAACCCCCCCCCCGAAGCCTTATGGAGGATATACGGGTTTCATTTGAGTGATAGGTACCCTTCTATTTTGTCCTTACAGCTACATCTTCCAGACATGCACATGGTGTCATTTCATTGGCGCCAGGGGATTCGGCGAGTGCTTGATCGTCCAGGTGCTGACAAGTCAATGCTTATAGCATACTTCGAGAAGAACAGGACAGATGAAACAGTTCGAGGTATATTGTATCAGGACTTTCCTGAGTTCTATATGTGGCAAGCACAGGGCAAAGTTTGGCAAAATAAGGTACATTGTGATACATTACGATAGATTGGAAGAATCGTGTCTGCCAATCTAGCCAAGGGGGAGAGTTACTATCTTAGGGTTCTCTTGAACCACGTGGCAGGTGCAACCTCCTTTGAGTGTCTAAGGACCGTGGATGGCAAAATCCTACCGACCTTTCGTGAAGCTGCAGAAAGAAGGGGCTTAATCGAAGAGGACAACACGCTGAATGAGAGACTTGCTGAGGCAACCAGGTGGATGATGCCATATGCGATGCGAAGGCTCTTTACAACAATATTGGTATTTTATGAGCCCAGTGATGTGTTTGGACTGTGGGAGAAACACAAGGAGGCAATGTTAGAGGACTACAGGCGCAATAATCAATCCACCGTCATGGTGGAGCAAATGGTCCTCATGGATATTCGAAAATTGCTACAATCAATGCAGAAGGATATAAAGATGTACCCACTTCCTGATATCGACGACACATATGATGCCTCTCGTGATATTCCTAGGGAGATTTTTTAGGAGGCTAGCATTAAGGCTAACGAGGATGATGTGGCTCTGTCAGACACCCTTAACGAGGAGCAACGGGCTGCATATGATGAGATCATGTCCTCGGTTGATACCGAGGACGGGGGTCTCTTCTTTGTGGATAGTCCTGGTGGGACCGGAAAGACTTATCTGTACAGAGCACTTCTCGCTACTATACGCAGTCATAAAAAGATTGCTGTGGCAACAGCTACATCTAGTGTCGCAACCTCAATAATGCCTGGTGGTAGAACTGTCCATTCGCGCTTCAAGATTCCCCTCACTATTGATAATGGGTCCTTTTGCACCTTCACGAAACAGAGTGGTACTGCCAAGCTGCTTCGAGCATCATCTCTCATTATTTGGGACGAGGCTAGCATGACAAAGAGGCAGTCTGTCGAGGCGCTGGACAACAGTCTTCGTGATATAATGGACCGACCAGAGCTGCCGTTCGGTGGGAAGACCATGGTGTTCGATGGAGATTTCAGACAGGTTCTTCCCATTGTTCGGAGAGGGTCGAGGGCTTAGGTGGTCAGTGCCTCACTGCGTATGTCGTACCTTTGGGATTCCATGCGACACCTAAAACTGGTGCGCAATACGAGGGCAAAGAGCGACCCGTGGTTTGCAGAATACTTGTTGCGCGTCGGTGGAGGATCTGAGGAGGCGACTGTTGATGATGAAATCCGTCTTCCTCATGATATATGCATACTGCACACCGGGGAAGATAGTGACCTTGATACTCTAATTGACTGCATATTCTCTAACCTCAATGCGAATATGTCAAGCAAAGATTATATCACCTCTCGAGCGATCTTATCTACGCGGAACGATTAGGTTGATATGATTAATATGAAGATGATAGGTCGTTTCCACGGGAAAGAGATGGTGTACCATAGTTTTGACTGTGCGGTGGATGATCCGCACAACTACTATCCTAAGGAATTCCTTAACACTTTGACACCCAATGGCCTACCTCCACATGTGTTGAAGCTGAAGATTGGTTGTCCGGTCATATTGCTTAGGAACATTGACCCTGCGAATGGACTTTGTAATGGTACCAGGCTTATCATATGGGGGTTTTAAAAGAATACCATAAACGTGGAAATTGTGTTGGGACAGTACGCTGGAAAGCGGGTTTTTCTGCCTCATATACCCTTATGCCCGTCGGGCGATGAGATGTTCCCTTTCCAATTTAAGCGAAAGCAGTTCCCTATACGGCTCAGCTTTGCGATGACAGTTAACAAGTCGAAGGGGCATACTATCCCTAACGTCGGGGTATACTTGCGGGAACCAGTGTTCTCGCACGACCAATTGTATGTGGCGCTATCAAGAGCTACGGCAAGATCGAACATTAGGATCCTAGCCGTGCCGGCTGCTGAGAAGGACGTGAACAAGGGAAAAGCGAAAGGGAATGGAAAGAAGAAAGCGACACATGATATATTCACAAAGAATATCATATATAAAGAGGTTCTAACTCCGTAAAAGAGGTAATGCATCACACGTCGATACATATTTTTTCAGGATATCAATGATACTTCAACTTTAAAAATTAACAAACAACTTATATGCAGGATACTTTTAACTATAGCTTCAGTCATCTGCATGCTTCAGCTGCAAGAAGTCAGACGCCGCATCTTGGACTAGAAAATCTTCTGAATCATCATTGATTGGTGACCAACTACAGCTTGGTATTTGTGCAAAGCACGTTCTCTTAGTCGAACTATTGAGAGATTAGATTCTTAATTGTAGAATAGATTGTAAAACATGTATTGTGAAACACAAATTTGTTATGATTATCTTTCCGTAGCACTTGATTTCTAAAGAAGTGCAAGCTTATCTTTCGCGTATCGTAGGCATAAAGTGATGCGACAATTGATGTTGATGTTTCAATTTTACATTCAAATTTAGAGTTATATTTTAACTATCAATCTTTCGTGAAGACTTATGTAAAATTGATTGGAACATTATGATTACGGTATCTATTTGAGATAACAGTATAACACACGCTTATACATATGTTATCGTGGTATTATGTGTTCCCATTACGACGTACGGGTATTTACCTAGTATATAGATAGATATATAAATCCCCTTCTTTCCCCTGGCCAGCCCACGGGCTTAAAGAACAGCCTGCCAGCTGAAACCAAACTCAATCGGCAACGGTACTAAAGACTTGGCCCAGCGTAAGGCACCGCCGCCGGCACAACGTGCAGCTCGACCTGGAGACCACGCCCGTATGTACTATGCTTGGTATAAGGGTGGCCCACACATCAGCCTACGGAATTTTTTTATGGTAATATAATCGCACGGACAATTGTATACTCGTATCAGAGCTGTGCAACCCAACTTGACGCTCAAGCAACCCGCGGCACATAAAAATGGCCACGTGACCCCCCGGTTTTGTATTTTTCATTTCACCTGGGGCCTGTTTAGTTCACCCGCTGAATCGGCGCCGCCAAAATTCGGCATACACTGTAGCTACTGTAGTATTTTGTTTTTATTTGGTAATAATTGTCCAATCGTTGACTAATTAGACTCAAAACGTTCGTCTCGTAAAGTACAACTAAACTGTGTAATTAGTTTTTAATTTCGTCAACATTTAGTACTCCATGCATGTACCGCAAATTTGATGTGACGGAGAATCTTCTTTTTATATAGTACCAAATTCTGGAATCCAAGCAAACTAAACAAGGGCCTGATGACTTTCAACTTTCAACTTTCAAGCGCACACAGCCATCACCAATCAGCAGCCCCGCAGCAAGGCCACCACCTCGAGTCGTGCAGATGAGCCCACCTGTCGGAGCAGACCCAGACCCCGACACGTCCACACCACCCGATTCGCCGCACGCCGCCCCCGCTGCCCGCCGCACCAGCCGTCACCGCGGCGACGCAACCGCCCAGCCCTACTAAAACCCCAGCCATCGTCACCTCGCCGTCCGAGCCCACCACCCCAGCCGAGCCTTCATCCTCCTCCTCCTCGCCGTCCCTGACTCGCGGCGCCACCACCGCCACCGCCTCCGCATCCGCTTACGGCCTACAGGCCCCGTCCGGTGAGCCTCGTCATGGACCCCACCCGACCTCACCCTCCCATTGGGACCTCGCCGCCGCTGTGAACCGCTGTGGGCGGCGTGTGATTCTGGTTCCTCGTTGTCGTTGCGGTACCTGGATGGGTTAATTTCGTTCGTTATTATGATTTGATTTTGGGAGGGTGTCATCGCCGCAGTGGTGGGAACTGTCGGAGGCGATGCGGTGTTTAGGATTGGTTGGGATGATGATGTTATATATGTTGTTGTTCCAGCTGCTGTTGTTAGTTTGGTCACTGTTGTGGCTGTAGAAGCAATTGATCACAAGTTCTATGTTCTTACTGACACATTGTAGCTCTGTCCCCGAATTGCCTCTTGTTTCTCTGTTGACAGGTAGAGCGATCTCTGTACTGACTTTTCATCTTTTTTATTTTCAGGGCCCAGTGTTACTCAAACAGAGTCGAAGATGTCGCGCCGAGGACTGATGGAGCAGGACCTGAGCAAGCTCGACGTCACGCAGCTGCACCCTCTGTCGCCAGAGGTGATTTCACGCCAGGCGACGATCAACATCGGTAATGCATTGCTTATGCTGTTGTTTTTGTAGCGTCTTTTTTATAAGACAGTTTTTGTAGCGTTGTATTGGCATTAGTGTTGCAGTACCAGTATGTGCCTATAAGGCGGGGCCCTGTTTGGATCTTTCTTGATTATAGTAATCTAGATTATGAATAGGATTATAATATTCTGGATTGTAGATTTATACCAATCTAGACTGCTTGGATCCCTGGATTGTTGTTGGTTAGAGTACACATGGCGAATAATGCCCTTGCGTGCCGTGAAGAGGATAAGATGGAGGAAATCCTAACCTTCTATACTGAAATTGGTTTGCCATGATTCTTGAAAGAAAAGGTGATTGAGTGATGTTTTTCTAATTACTGCTGTCGTACATAATAGGATGTTACATCTGCTCATTGGAATCTTACTTGGGCTGTGGAATCTGATTTTTTTACTCAACTTTTGGATAAAATATCTTGCTTGTCTATCTTCAGTCTTATTTTTCTTGCGTGAAGGAAAAAACTGCTGCTGTAATATCCTAGGTTTATGTGCATATTCTAAGTAAAATATCTCTTTGGAATGTGCAGGTACCATTGGGCATGTGGCCCATGGGAAGTCTACAGTTGTCAAAGCAATCTCAGGTGTACAGGTAATAACTAATATTGATACCATTGAGTCATCACATGCATGTCTGTTTGTTCCTTTTACATGTACAGTAATAATTTACATTTGATTCTGTATCTGGAGAGTGGAGATATATTTGTTTCATATTATGTCTGAGTTGATCGTTTCCTTCGGATTTGCAGACTGTTCGTTTCAAGAATGAACTGGAGCGCAATATCACTATAAAGCTTGGTTACGCTAATGCCAAAAATCTATAAATGTGAAGATAATAGGTGCCCACGACCAATGTTCTACAAGTAAGTCATAGAGATCTCTTTTATATTTATCACACTGTTTTTCCTTCATCTGTTGCAAATGATTTAGCTGCAGCTCGTAATTGTGGAATGTCTTCAAGTATAGCGTTTTCATATTGTGTTATTGTTGCATTTCTAGTGTGATTGTGTGAATGCAGAGTTAGTTTAGGTTTAAAGATATAAGTAGTCTTAAATGTTCATGTTCTTGACAAGGAAGCACAAAAAATTTCACTCTTTCTAGTTGGTTTCTAACAATAACTTGCTAGCGTCGTGATAGTACCGGTAGCTCTTTTCTGAACCTTGCCCAGAATCAATCATGAAAAACTGTTATTTTGTTAAACGAATGAGAAATCAGAAATAAATACTATCAATTTCCTTGAGTGAAAAGTTAAAATTGTTGGTACTTCCCTTTGATGGAAATCTAAGAACCTGAGGTGGCCTTGTGATCTTGTGCAGATTTCTATAATAATGTTGAATTGGCAGCTTTTCAGTACTATCTATGTATATCGCTTTGTGTACGTTGCTAAATGCATGTATTTGTCCTGAATTTCAAATGTCAAGATATGGTGATCTGCTAGAAATATTGCCCCTTCGTCAGATGCTTGCATGTGTTGTGAGCCTCATAACTTACCCCTTGGGGCTGCCACATTATATATAGTTACTGCATATGTTATCATGTTGATACTTTTCATCTAACCATTTTGTTTTTTATATATACAGGGCTTATGGCATTGGCAAAGAAGATAGCCCTCTCTGTGACGTGCCAGGTTTTGAAAACTGTAGGATGAAGCTCCTGAGACATGTTTCATTTGTCAATTGCCCGGTATGATGAAACCTTTCTCATATCAGTTCTGTTTCACATGTCTACTTAGGGTTCAGATTCACAGATTCAGATCAGTTGCTATGGTAGATGTCTGTATCTTTTGCACAAAATTTTGGATTCTGTTTGCCTCCATCGATGTTGTTAATTCCTTCATGCTGCAACAACATTAAGCGATGTAATATGCTAGATGAATCATTGTTCCCTCAAACTGACATGTTGATTATCAGTATACTTTTTTTTCTGTAAGAAGTAATAAAAAAGTTCATTCTCATTAAGCATTTGACTAGCAGTCTTACCAGCTTCATTATACATTGTTTCTTATTTACTTTGACATTTCCATAACAATATATTCATCTTGTAAACAGGGGCACGACATTCTCATGGCTACAATGCTTAATGGAGCGGCTATCATGGATGGAGCACTGCTTCTGATTGCAGCAAATGAGAGCTGCCCACAACCCCAGACATCTGAGCACCTTGCAGCTGTTGAGATTATGCGTCTTCAACATATTATCATTCTGCAGAACAAGATTGATCTTATCCAGGAAAGTGCAGCAATGAACCAGCATGAAGCAATCCAAAAATTTATACAGGTCAGAGCTGCTCCTTGTCTCTTAGATAACAGCAAGTATTTTACGAAATTCAGTTTGTCATGATTATATTCTTGTGCTCAGGGAACAATAGCTCAGGGTGCTCCTGTGGTGCCAATCTCAGCACAGCTGAAGTACAACATTGATGTTATCTGTGAGTACATTGTGAAAAAGATTCCTATACCAGAGAGGAATTTCACCTCTCCACCCAACATGATTGTTATTCGCTCGTTTGATGTGAACAAACCTGGTTCAGAGGTTAATGATATCAAGGGTGGAGTAGCAGGTGGCAGTATCCTCAAGGTATGTAATAATTCTTGATATCTGAATACAGTAATCGATATTTGTGCATGCAGTATTTTCGTTCTGTGGAAGTACATGATGACTGAGTTCCTTTGTGAAGGGAGTCCTGAGGGTGAACCAGAAAATCGAAGTGCGCCCAGGCATTGTGATGAAGGAAGAAAGTGGCAGAATTAAGTGCACACCCATCTACACCAGGATCGTGTCCCTGTATGCTGAGCAGAATGAGCTCCAGTTTGCCATTCCTGGGGGCCTAATTGGAGTTGGAACTACCATGGACCCGACACTGACTCGTGCTGATAGGCTGGTCGGTCAGGTCCTTGGTGAAGTCGGATCGCTGCCTGTAGAGGCCAGTGATGTCATATCTTTGGGACCGCCCAGTGTAAACAGAATATACCATATCTGATACTTTTGTTTGCAGGTGAACTTCTTCTCCTCCGGAGGCTACTGGGCGTGAGGCGGTGAGGACAAGTGGAACCGAAAGGGCAAGCAGGGTCTCAAAGCTCGCCAAGGGTGAGATCCTGATGCTTAACATTGGGTCGATGTCTACAGGAGCAAAAGTTGTCGCTGTCAAGAATGATCTTGCTAAGCCAGCGCTCACGGCTCCAGTATGCACCAACAAGCTCGAGAAGCTGGCCCTCAGCCGGCGCATTGAGAAGCATTGGCGTCTCATTGGCTGGGGCACGATCCAGGCTGGCATTACACTCGACGTCCCACCCTGCCCGCTCTAAATCTATACTAAATACACCACACGTTTGACGATTAATTGACGCAAAAATAGAGTTTGGAGATGTGGTAAGGTATAGAGTTGTTGGGAACGATTTTTGTGAGGTGGAGAAGAAAACCTGAAACCAAATAATAATAATTGTTTTTGTTTGCAAATCTGTTTCCCTGCTATCTTATTGATGAGCTGATGTGTTGAATAAGTTTTCACCCAGTTAGTTTAATGATAAGCTTGAATTTAAATCGTGTACTTTTCATGGTAAGTTGCTAATGCTGTGCAGGTTGACATGAATTATTAGTTCATCTGTACAGTGATAGTTTAGTTGCTGATGCTGTGCAGTTTTTTTTTTAACAGATGTTGTGCAGGTTGGCATGAATTATTAGTTCATCTGTACAGTGATAGTTGATGCTTCTGCGTCATTTTCTCGTTTTACATAATTCAACTTATCCTTAGGCCTAATTTGGAAGCAAGGGGAGCCCATTTCAGGGAGGGAAAACCTCCCATAGATAACTAAATATCTTATTCAAATGACATCCCCATGGTTCTCACCCTGAAAAAAGTCGGGGTTTCTAAGAGGATTTGAGTTTCCAAATTAGGCATTAATGGCCATGAATACATACTCAATGTTGGCAAATATTACAGTGAACCTTTTAAAGTTCTGATTAACAGTATATTAAATATTTTAGTTTGGAAAAATGAGTACCATTTGTAGTTTTTTTCTTAAAAAAATACCTTAATAACACCATAAACTTATTGAATTATTATATACATATATTCAATGAAATAAGTACTCAGGGATACATAGGAAATCATATCATGTTCAAAATATAAATTTATTTTGACTGGAGCAAGTATTTTGCATCTCCCCTGCACTGGGAAGGAGAGGTGACCGGGTAACGAAGGTACACAAGGGCGCAGCAATATGGGGACAATATAGGACCTAATAAAAAAAACTTATATGACAAACACATACATCACATAAATGAATTACAGTGATGTGTTTATAAATGATATAATGCTACATCTGACAAATCTAAGCTGAGTAAAAAATTCTTATGAACAATTCCCCTATCCTGCACTAGAATTGTTTCCAGAAGACGATCTCAGCAACTGATGGTGGTTAGGAGCGATCGAATTGGGCATGCCAGAGTTGAACATGATTTTTGATGCCTGTGGTGATGGTTGAGTCTGGATGCCAGAGTTGAACTGATGGTGGTTAGGGCCGAACGAGAGCATCTGAGGTCGCTGGTGTAGGAACAGCATCTGAGGCATCTGAGGATGCCCATGCCCCTGCATGTTGTTGGCATATGTGGCTGGCATGCTGGTCTGTAGCATGGAGCCTGGCACACCGACTGGTCTGGGGCTCATGCCTGCTGGATTTGATGGCATGGTGCTACTGCCCCTGGTAGACCGCTTCCGGTGGGACCTAATAGGGCTGACCTCATCCTGACTCGTTCAGCTGAAATCCTCTGTCTAACCCTTTCTACTTGCTCACATTCCTTCAAGAGCAAGGTCTCAACTTCCATAAACTGCTTCAGCTTCAACTCCAATCTCTTTAACTGCAAATTGAGTGTTGCAATATCAATAAGCCATCCTCAGCAAACAACATACTAGAGTAAGTGTGAATAAGGGTCTATCAAAACAACTACCATGCTGGTACCAGAAATTTTAACCCTACTCTGACTTGTATCCAGCAAAAGGCTCATTCATACTACATACTATCAAGCTAGGCTAGGAAACAAAACTTAGTTCCAGGAGTGCCAGACTGCTTTTCTAATTTAATTAAACAGGCAACTCAGATATCAAGGGACCCGAAAGTCTTAGCCGACTTCTAGAACCTAATACCAGTTTTCATCTAACGATAAGTCAGATGTGAAGGGACTCAAACAAGTCCAGCGCCAAGCATGCAACAAATGGTCCAGTTCAGTAGAAATCTACCACACCTAAATCAACGGCTTGACTCAGTCGCAACAAATGGAGACAGCTGTGCATGCAAATCAGATGGCGAAACACATACTAACCTGATGATTTATTACAGTAGCAGCTAGTCTTTGAACTTCACGTTCCTCTTGATCGGCAAAAAGCTTAGACTTCATTGTTGCTGCTGACAGACCAAACATGGCAGCATGTTTCACATTTTCTGGAGAAATGGATGGTGAAGCACCTGTTTGGAAAATTAATGATTCTTTTAACATTCATGTCTAGAGTGAACTAATCAGGATTTTGCTAGCAACATTGACTGTAGCAGGTATTAAATACAAAGCAGATACCATTGTGGTTCCGAAAATTTGGATTTGTACCATTGCCCATACCATCAGCATGCATGCCTTCTGAACTCACCCTTCAATGCGTAGCAAAGATAAGTCATACTTAGCTCTAACATGATAATGCAAAAGGAACTAGAAACAAATGAAAGGTCTGGATAGTAGACTTGACGGGGAATTTCTGCCTCACGAATGAGGAAATGTTGAATATTTGAACTTTGAAGTAATAAAGCATTTACTAATGTATCTGAACTAAAGCATTCAGTAATAATAAAGTAAAGAATAAAGATGGCTAACCTGGAATCATCATCTCTAGTCAAAAAGATAATGCTGCATATGCGCATGATGCTGCAACTCTTGGTCCAATTGAAGAGGCCAAAAATGCAACCTATAATATTTATAAAGCGTTAGACTGCATACATGCATACATACAGAACGAACAGAAGCCTGACTTTTCATTGTTATGTTATGAAGCAGTGAAGTGCATAGCGCATAGCCCTATGCCCCTACGTATGCAGTCTTACAATATGAAATCATTGCTATGTCATGAAGCAGTGAAGCAGTGAAGTGCATAGCATATAGCCTCTTTCAGGTTTAGCCTTAAGATGGTAAGGGAATTCCTGGGGAACTAGTTTAGGGAAAGGATGGTGGCAAGAATAATGATTTCTTATTCAAACTCAACCTAGAGGACACAAGAACATAAAAAAAATCAAGACATGCTGACGTCTGGTCTTACAGGGAGCCAAAAATGTAACCTACACTACCGTTCTAAATTGAAAGAGCATCTACTCCAAGTAGCAATCTAGGCTTTTATTTCCAAAAAATTTTCTGTTGATAAAACTTTAAACAAAAAAATGCTTAGTGAAACTTAAATATAAATGCAAATATAGATGTCATGTCAAAAGAGAATGTCAGGCAACCATTGGTGCTGCTGACTACCAGAATAGCAAATTATACTTCTATTACGTCACCTAAGCTTGAATGGCAAATCCACTTTTCTCAGTTCAATAAATGGTGCACTGGTTCTCCAAACAAGAAAAAAAAAGAAGGGCGGAGCTACTCACCAGTGACATGACCGGATTAGAAGAATTAATGAATGGAAGCTGATTTCCATGTTGAATATTTTGAACTGGAGCTCCTAAGAACACACTCATCAATATTAAGCCATAACTTACAACAGGAGCAAATTACCAAAAGCTAAACAGTAAATGGACAAAAAATGAATTCAGCTGATAGGGAAACTTAGTGATGTAAAACACCTGAAGTGCTGCCATTGGAATCTGAATGTTGATAACCATTGCTTTGTGGTCGAAATGGAATGGGTGCATTAGGTATCTCAACATTCTCTAACAAACCATTTTCCACTGGCAACCGAATAAAATGGTAAATACATTGTGCCTTTGATTTTGTTCCAACATGACCTGCAATGTCATCCCAGTTGTCATTGTACTTCTCAATGCCTTCCAACAGCAACAATGTTTCTTCATCAGTCCATTTATCACTATCATTTTCTGATCCATCATTATCCCCATCGACTCTCTGGAAATCTAAGCTAGAATGCCCAATAATATATCTCGCATCATGGAAGCAATCAGAACATAGAAAAATATCTGCCTGCTCAACCAGTTAAAACACACTTGTTATTGCTAACGTTTGTCGCACAAAATAAAAATAGAGGAATCACAATAATACATTCAAATGGGTACAAACCCAATGGAGTTCAAAGAGTTACACTGCACAGCAAAAGCAGATAGTCCCGCATCAAAATTGGACAACAACAACAACAAAGCCTTTAAGTCCCAAACAAGTTGGGGTAGGCTAGAGTTGAAACCCAGCAGAAGCAATCAAGGTTCAGGCACGTGAATAGCTGTTTTCCAAGCACTCCTATCTAAGGCTAAGTCTTTAGGTATATTCCATCCTTTCAAGTCTCATTTTATTGCCTCTACCCAAGTCAACTTCGGTCTTCCTCTGCCTCTCTTCACGTTACTATCCTAGCTTAGGATTCCACTACGCACCGGTGCCTCTGGAGGTCTCCGTTGGACATGTCCAAACCATCTCAACCGGTGTTGGACAAGCTTTTCTTCAATTGGTGCTACCCCTAATCTATCATGTATATCATCGTTCCGAACTCGATCCCTTCTTGTATGACCGCAAATCCAACGCAACATACGCATTTCCGCGACACTTATCTGTTGAACATGTCGTCTTTTCATAGGCCAACATTCTGCACCATACAACATAGCAGGTCTAATCGCCGTCCTATAAAACTTGCCTTTTAGCTTCTGTGGTACCATTTTGTCACATAGGACACCAGATCGCATCAAAATTGGACACTTAATAATATTTGTAACTAAGGGTCTGTTTGCTTTATAGGGCCCTGAAGCCATGCCATAATTTTTGGAGGCACCAACCAAACAGCCCCTAAATGTTCTTTTCCCAAGTACAGTAGTCAATCAACTAGTAGAAACATCAAATTGTTAATACACGTTTTCAGCATGTGCTGCGTATCCAAGGTTTGACAAAAAATGTGAGTAAAATAATAATAAGTAGGCAAAACCCCCAAACATGAAATAATTAGGGTTTAATTTCAACAACAAATCTTAGTCTACCACAGTCAACCAAAACTTAAGCAATAACATGCTAAATTGTGAGGCAAGACTACCTCAGCAGCTTACTGTAATGTAGAATCAAAACCTTGGAGGAAGGTCCAATTTTTTAGCAGGAGTGAAATGAAAGTGCAACTTCCAAAATACCGATACAGATTCTCTACACAGAAGTGCAACTTCCAAAATACAGATACTGATTCTCTACACAAAACATTTAACATAAAACATGTAAAATGGATGTTACAAAGAAGCGCACCTCCTTTTGTGACCGGTAATGTAAACTTGGCAAAGGCTGTAAGCAATAACTGCAAGAGCTCTCAGACAAACGCTCCCTGATCTTTGCATCCAAGTCAGCAAATACAGCATCAAAATCCACAGCCTCCGAGTTCGACGAAGACGGGGCCATCGAAGAAATGTCCTCCGCTGGGAGGCTACATTTTGGCCGGTCAAACAAAATTAGACCATCGATTGATTTCAACGGCGCTGTAAGCAGCTGCAGTTCCCCTGTAGGTTCCTCTCTTAGAAGCGAAGTTGCCATCCTCAGGCCACGGTGCACAGACCCAGCCGCAAGGTAATTGATGATGCCCCAAGTGTCCAAGAACCTAACAATCCTACTCAGATCATACAGTTCAGCTGTGCTCCCAACAAGCCCCTGGCACTCAGCAAAAGCAAGCCTCTTGCTTGGGTTCTCTAAGTATTTAGCAATGACTCTATTCCTTAACATGACATACTTCTCCGGAGTGTGCCCTGGAGACTTGCCTGTAAAGAAGTGTGGCACTACCTGCCTTTCCAGCCTATGAACTGTCCCCGGGGAGAACCAATCTACAAATTACAAACCAAAATACATAGGTTACTTAAATTAGCGCACTTTTCCAGCACAGCTCAGCGATCCGTGTTTACGCAGAGAGCAAACCTGAGTGCTTGGGCACGACATGGAGGCGACCCTGGAACTGCTTGGGCACTCCATGCCCCTCCATGAGGGGAGGCGGCGTGCACACATACAAGGACGGCTTGTCGGGGTCTGTCGCAAGGGATGGGTGGTCCGGAAGCACCCCGGACAGCACCTGCAGCTGCCCGTGCGAGATGTTCTCTAGCGCCGGCGGTGCCACGGCCAGGACATCGCCGGAACAAGCGGATCGCTCGGCCTCGAGCAGCGCGAGGACGGACGGATGCGGCCGGTTGACCACGCGGCGCTTGGCGGCGGGGAACGCAGAGATGGGCTCGGCCGAGGGCAGCACCTCCGCCTCGTGGAGGCCGAGCGCGGCGGGGTCCTCGGACGCCGCGGGGGGCTCGTCGTCGTCGCCGGCTGCCCCGTCCCTGTCCCCCGCCGCGCCGTGGACGGCGGCGGCGTCCTCGTCGGCGGAGTCGGAGTCGGAGGAGTGGCCGGCGGCCGCCGCCGCGGCGGCCGAGGTGGAGGGCTTGGACGGGGACGCGTCGGGGTTGCGCTTCCGCTTGCGCCATTTGAGGCGCGAATCTGGGAGAGTTAGGGTTACCGAGGCGGAGGCGAGCGTTAGGTCCGGCGGTAGAGAGTTTAAAGGGTTTCGAGAGGGGGATGGACGCACGGACCTGAGGTCGACGAGGCCTTACGAGGCATCGGCGGCGGCGGCGACGACGGCGGCGGAGGTCGACGAGGCGAGCGGGAGTGACGGGGGAGTGAGACGAGACGAGACGCGGGCGTGGTCGGAACGAGTCGACGGGGAAGGAGGAGGGCAAGCACGTGCGAGGGAGGCTGCTCTGCTCCCAGCGACGGCTGGACATGGACCGGGCATCGCTGACGAAACACTCGTAAGTCGCTAGCTCGTTTGTCTGTAGCTCGGCTCAAGCTCGCCTCATTTGAATTTTTAATTAACGAGCCAGCTTGTACTAGCTCGGTTAACTAACGAGTCAGCTCATGAATTATTTATGAGTCAAAACTAACCAAGGTAATTTACAGGACAACAACTGTAATTGACACATATATCCCTCGGTCTAATCCAATACAACTTTAAACGGTCCATATATCTCTCTGCTTATAGCCCTACACGATTAAACACTAAACCCCTAAACCAATAGATCATATGGCCCCATCCAGTCACCCCACCGGCCTACTCCACGGCATTATATTTACGTGAGATGAGTCCAAAATTTATATGCATTTTGTTTATTCCATTTTAAATATGCACGTAATGTGTTTGTGTACTATATTTTTGCTTTGGCTCGTCATAACCAGCCGAGCTGAATGTTCCACTTCGCGGCCCAGTGGGCTTGATTGGTTAGAAATGGCCCATGTTCGCACGTGGGAGAAAACTGAAGTTGGCCTAAGTCCGGTATCACAAACCTGTCCAAACTTCCCTTCAAAAAAAAAAAAACTGTCCAAACAACCTTGCACGATCATATGCTCCTGATGTGTATGTAGGCCTGCGACAACGACGAATGAGGAAGCAGTTGTATCCATCCAGGTCTAAATCGCAGACGTCGGTTCAGAAGTTTGAGAAGCCGCATGTCGACCGCCACTGATGTCATCACTATGATGTCCCATGAAGAACTACTAGGAAGTTAAACCACATGATGCATGTTATCAAATATACAATTAGAGCTTAAATTTTATTTTTTTGGAAATTTACTGTCCATGTCTCGATGGTTAAGCAAGAAATTGCTAGTGAGGGAACATTTTTTTTTTGCTGTTTGCACGGTGGGTTGCATGGTAGTAATCCATGTTGCACTATATATGGGTTTGTCTTGGTTTGCATCCTCCATTTTATATTTGGCCCAACTTCACATTTTATGAGACCACGTAAGATTCAGACAATTCTAAGTAAGGGAAAAAAGGTAGAGCGTAATTTTAGGGACAATATGAAACTCCTTTCATTTTTCTCTAAGTATTTTTAAATGCATTGGAAGGATCAAGATGTCTAAGAAGGGGTGAATTGGGCTAATTCTAAATTTTCTTGCAATAATTAAATCCTATGGTTAGCCCAATTAACCTCTTGTGCCTAGAAAAATGTATCTAACGCACAAAGGACTTGCAACCTATGTTCCAAACTTACTGTAGCATGGCAATTCTAATGAATGTAAAAACAAGTATTGAATTGCTCAAAGTAAATGCTCAAAGTAAATAGAGAGATGAACGCGGCGATGTTTTGTCGAGGTATCGGAGAGTCGCCACTCCCCACTAGTCCTCGTTGGAGCACCCGCGCAAGGGTGTAGCTCCCCCTTGATCCGTGAAAGGATCAAGTGCTCTTTACGGGTTGATTCTTCGACACTCCGTCGCGGTGAATCACCCACAACCGCTTACAACTCGAGTTGGGTCACCCACAAGCTCTCCAGATGATCACCAAACTCCTAATCACCACCAAGCCGTCTAGGTGATGACGATCACCAAGGGTAACAAGCACGAACTCTCACTTGACCACGCGAAGCCTGATGAGAAGGGTGGATGCACACTATGCTACTCTTGATTCACTAATGAGGCTACTCTCTTGGATTCTCAAATCTCGATCACCTCACTAGGACCTTGATCTTCTTTGCACTCACAAACGTGTTTCTTAGCTGTTCAAATGAGCAAAAGTACCCCCACACACGAGTGGAGGTGGTATTTATAACATGGGCTAAAAAGCTAAGCAGTTATGTGCCTCTGCTGGGTATTTGGGACGCTCGGTCATGTTGACCGGACGCTCCGGCCGATTCAACTCAAGACATCAAGTGTTTAAGTGTTGACCGGACAAGGTGGTCCGGTCACCAACTGGACGGACAGCGGCCCGGTCGCATTTTTTCCCTCTTTGGAACCTTACTATACTCGATCGACGCTGAACCCCAGTGGTCAGTGGTCAAGATCGATCGGACGCTGTCGTTGGTCATGATTCTCTTCTGGAACCTTCTTTGAGTCGACGGACGCTGTTGCCATCATCGTCCGGTCACTTGATTCTTCCAAAGCGTCCGGTCACACTGACAATTTCTCCTTCGTCAAATGAACTGACCGGACCTGCTGACGGCGTCCCGGTCAAGACCGAGCGAAGCCGTCCGATCCGTATTTGACCCTCCATTCACTTCCAACTCTCGATCATTTGTGAATGAAGTTTGCTCCATAGGATCTAAGGGCTGTTTTGGAGCTACCTAGTGCTAGACTTAGCAAGTGTGCACCACACCTAACTCACTAGACTCACCTAGGTCAAGCTACCCGTCCATACCCCCTTAATAGTACGGCCAAAGGAAAAACAAAGTCCTAAACTACTCTAAGTGTCTCTCCAACTCCAATTGACACTTAGAACTAGTCATCCTTAACCTTGTCGTCCATCCTTTGAAAACCGAAACGATTTCCATCGTAGAGGCATGACATCCATGATTGCCCAATCGATCTCCATTACCATGACCTAACTTAATTGCCTCTGTAAAACACACGTTAGTCATAGTAATCTTGTATTGTCATTAATCACCGAAACCCAACTAGGGGCTTAGATGCTTTCAATCTCCCCCTTTTTGGTGATTGATGACAATACCACCTCGAGTATGTGAAAGAGTGGGGTTTTTATATGCTTGGTTCATATAAGCTTTTGTCAATAAGAACAAAAGGGTTAGGCAAGCTTATATGACCCAAGCCAACACAATGTACTCAAAAGATATGAATTAAGCATGAGTACAAGTAACAAGGCTCATTTGCATCAGAGTATAAACGCGGAAGCAAAGGCAAATGAGCATAATACAAGTGATATGACATATAAAGAATTCAAAGTAGAGAGCACATGTCACATATTTTTTTGTGTGCAGTAAATGAAAATAAAGTTTATTACTTTTTCTAAAAAATTTTATGCCTAGTATTGAATTTACTATGCAAATAATAAGACTTAAACATTTAAATACAAAATATATATAAAATAAACTGATCTGCTTAAAAGTTGGCGGGAAATGAAAATGTAGCCTACCTTTAGTCCCGGCTCCTACCACCAGCTGGGACTAAAGGTGGGCTGCATTTGGCGGCTCGCCAATAAATCCTTTAGTCCTGGCTCCTTCCAACAGCCGGGACTAAAGGTCCCCCCTTTAGTCCCGGCTGGTGGCTGGAGCCAGGACTAAAGGTGCTTTAGTCCCGGGCGGTGCATGGAGCCGGGACTAAAGGTCCCTCTCCTATATACCACCGCCTCCCTTCTCTCTTCCTCCTCATCGATCGTCTTCGTCTTCAGCGCATCCCCAGAGCTCCGCCGCCGCCAATTCGCGTCCCCAGCCACCCCCGACGCCGCCTGCTTCCTCACCGGAGGGCACCCCGAGGCTCGCCCACCTCATCGGAGTAGCCTCGACGCCGCGCCCCTCACCGAGGAGCCCCCGACCGCCCCCGACACCGTGTGCGCCACACCGCCGCTGATTTTGCCTTCTCGGCCACCCCCGACGCCGCCTTCCTCACAGGAGGGCACCCCGACGCCCGCCCACCTCGCCGGAGTAGCCCCGATGCCGCGCCCCTCAAGGAGGAGCCCTTGGCTGCCCCCGACGCCGCGCGCGCGCCACGCCACGCCGCCGCCACACCACCGCGCCTTCTTCCTCACCGGAGGGCATCCTGACGCCCACCCACACCTCGGCCGGAGTAGCCCTCGACAACGCCCGCGCCGGCCAGAGCCCCGTGCCTCGATCCGGCCATTGTCCACCACCGCCTGTCCGCCAACACTCCATTAATTCTAAACCGCCGGCATATATATATTATATTTATTATATTTATGAATTATATTGATGAAATGTGTATTAATGTATATATGTATGAAATGTGTATATATATATATCAATTAATGTATATATGTATGAAATTATGTATGTATGAAATGTGTATATATATATATCAATTAATGTATATATGTATGAAATTAATGTGTGTATATATATATCAATTAATGTATACATGTATAATTTTTCCTTAGGAAAAAAATCAATTGTGTTATATTCGATACCATGTGGCCTATACCTAAACCCTAAACCACCCTAAACCTCCCACGATACCACGTATTTGGCGGCCGCCTGCCAGCACCACCACCGCCGAAATGTGTATGAAATGTCTATGAAACCCTAATTGCATAATTATTGTTTTATAATTGTTTAGGCTCTCTATGGCGTAACCGAGAGACGATGATGACGGAGGCGGAATGATGGATATTATCAACGCCCAAGCCTTTGAACATTGTGCCGATGTTGATAATGACCAGCAGGAAGACGACGGAAGTCAATACTTGAATCTCGATCATATTGTTGAGGAAGTTGTTCATGAAGATAATTCCGGCGAGGTATATATTTCTCAATATCTAGCTCTCATTTATTTATTATGCATACATGTAGCCCACTAGATCGACCTTCGTTTTATAATACTTTTTGTGTTTCTATGCGTACATAGCCGTCTAGATCGATGACGACGACGGGGAACACAGAGAATGTTCGAGGGGCCAAAAAGCCGTTGGAAGGCCGCTACATCATCTCAGAATTCAACGTGGCTACAAGCGAACCACTAGGACAATATGCACAGAAATTTGTGTACCACTGTGGGTACCTTGTAAGGGACAAGCTCCCGATCAATGCCCGTGAATGAAAAAAAATAACAATGCTCCTCATATTAGTTATGTCTCTGATAAGGACAAGGAGCTGATT